GATAAAGTACAGAATAGGGGAAATATTTGGTAATGAAATGTAGAACAAAGGACTTAGCTCTCAAATTTATAAATATCTCCAATAGCTCAACATCAAAAAGACAAACAATCCAATGGAAACATGAGAAGAAGACATGAACAGACATTGAAATGGAAAAAAAAAAAGTGCTCTAGAGGGACTCAAGAACAGGTATGAGATGGGAAAAAATCAGTAACATGAGAATCAACAAACAAATTCACTTCCTTTGATGAAAGATTATTTGAAGCCCTTGGTGATGAAGGTTACAGATTACAGTCTGCAGTATGGATAGCCACTCAACAAAAAGAAAATGAAAATCCTGATAACAGGACCAATGAGCAGCATCACGACAAATGGAGAAAAGATTGAAGTTGCCAAATATTTCCTATTACTTGAATCCACAATCAGTAACAATGGAAGCAGCAGTCAGGAAATCAGAGGATTTACTGCACTGGGCAAATCCGCTGCAAATGATCTCTTTAAAGTGCTGAAAAGCAAAGATATCTCTGATGACTAAAGTGTGCCTAACACAAGCGTGCTATTTTCAATCATCTCATATGCATGTGAAAGAGGCACCATGAATAAGGAAGACCAAAGAAGAGTTGAGGCATTTGAGTTGTGGTGCTGGTGCAGAATCCTGAATGTACTGCCAACTGCCAGAAGAACAAAGAAATCTGCTGGGGAGCAGGGCAGCTGGAAAGCTCCCTGGAAGCAGAGATGGCCAGATTCTGTCTCACCTACTTTGGTCATAGTGTCCAAAGGGACCATTCTCTGGAGAAGGATATCATGTCTCGTAAAGTGGAAGGTCTGTAAAGAGGGGGGAGACCCTCACCAAATGGATTGATACAGTGGCTACAATGATGTGCTTCAGTATAGCAAGGATAGACGGGATGGCCTACGACCTGCCAGTGTTTCGTTGTGTTGTATTTAGGGTCACTATGAGTCAGAAGTGACTTGATGAAGCTAGCAACAAATACCACTACTTTGAGGAGGCAGCTCTTCCCCAGGCACATTCCGAGTGTTTTCCAACCCGTGGCACTCACCTTCTGGTACTATTTCACCTTCTGGTACTATTTCAGACAATATTTCAATGCTGTCCATGTGGTTCTCACCGGCCAGTTCTTTAGAAGTAGATTGTCAGGCCCTTCTTGCTGGAGTCTCTTAGTTGTAAACATCCAGTGAAACCTGCCCACCACGGATGATCACTCTAATCTTTGAGACACGGTTGGCATAGCTTCCAGCATCACAGTAACATGCCAGCCCCATCCTATGACAAAGTGACAGATAAGTGCTGGCACAGAATGGAGTGGACCTGACTTTAATGCTTTGAACCTAACTGTTTAGTTTTGTTTTTTTCGGTTTTTGTCAAATGAATGCCTGTAAATACAAACTTTTAAAGTTTTTTCAGAAACTATATTTTTTTGTCCTTGATGTACAGCTCAGAGATTCTGAAACAATGTATCTCTTTATTTTTTTTAAATAATATGTGGTCAGGGAATGAATCAAAGTAACAAATATATATATAAATATGTATCAGGTGTTAAAATATTCAATGACTTCGAAGATACTAAAGCTTTTTTTGTCAAATTCAAGTTTAGGATATAACCCAACCCTTATTTCACTTTGCCCTATTAAATTTTGAATTTAGATTTAATATATAGAAAACTCTAAATGTTTAATATAAAAAATACAAGTCATTCTTATTTTGGTAAATATATGAGTGAACAGTATGAAAGATTGGTAACAAAATTATTCATGCTGCAGTTGAAGCAAAAGCCAAAATCCCTAAAATTGTCTATGCACACACACAGGATAGCAAGAGCAATCAAATTTTAAAGGATGGGTGATCGAGTTTATTTCCAGGAAGCCTTTTAAGAATTTTGCTATGAATTTCGATGTACTTGAAGACAACTTACAATAATACTAACTTACTTTGATGCCATTCTTTTAAGCCAAACAATTCTAGTTAAAAAAGGACTTGTTTTACAATATTAAGATCCTCTTATTTTTTTAAGCCCAATAACAAGGTCTAAGTAAAAGCTTCCTTTGCTAAAATATTGAGCAGATATCAGAATCAATTGTATTATTATTTTTTTTAGAGATTATATATTCTGTATTTTCCCATAATTTCTTCACACTTCCTTCTACAGAGTGCAGCATTCAGGCAATTAAATACCTTAGGGAATCATTATGTTCTTTAGAGTTTCCCAAATCCCTCAAGAAGCATGAAGGGACTTTTGGTAATATATTTATTATATCCACCTAATAAGAAGAATGACTCTAGGGACTTTATTTCCATTACAACTAAGGACAATATATAGCTGAACTTTGCATCTAACACTGTCTTCTGAAAGGATTTTTTTTATTAATTTCTCCTTACTTTCATGTCATGGAAGCTGTGCCTTTGATATTTATATATTAAAGGGTAGGTTTGGTTTCCAATCCTATTAACTATAAGTACCATCATTTGCTTTATTATGTATCACTATAAATAGCAGGCACATTTTAACTAATTTTACTTATGTAGGAAAATAATTCATTGGAATAGGTAGAAAGGAGGTTCTCGGTGAGTCTAAGTGTTGGACATCTTCCCTTCCATTGTTATGTTGTTAGGTATCATCTAGTCATTTACAACTCATAGTGACATTATGGACAACAGAAAAAAACACTGCCCAGTCTTGTACCTTCTTCACAATGGTTGAAACCACTGTTGCACCCACTCTGTCAATCCAACTTGTTGAGAGTGTTGGTTATTTCTACTGACCATCTTCTTTACCATGCATCCTATCTCCTTCTGGGCATTAGTCCATCCTGAGCCACAAACAAATGACAAAAGTCTGCCATCTTCACTTCTAAGGAGCATGCTAGGATACTCCACCCTAAGCAGGTTTGTGTATTCTTCGGGCAGTTCTTGGTATATTTAATATGCTTCAACAACCCCGTGACTCAAATGCATCAATCCTTCTTCAGTCATCTTTATTCATTGTTAATCATATTTACTTGAATATCTTATATTCTGCAAATCAGTTTAAAATTATTATTATGTTGTTGCTGTTGTTATGTGCCGTTGAGTCAGACCCGACTCATAGCGACCCCTCCTTGGGTTTCCAAGGCAGTATCACTACGGAAGTAGATTGCCCCATCTTCCTTCCGAGGAGTGTGGCTGGTGGGTTTGAACCGCCAACCTTCTGGTTAGCAGTCAAGTGCCTTAGCCACTATGCTACCAGAGCTCCCAAAATTATTTTATATATATAAATATGTACCAAATTTAATTTTATAAGCAATCAAAAATGCTGGGGTGGGAGGCATTTATAATTTTGTCCCTAATCTCAACTTTATGTTAAACTTCAATCTATTTCTGTATATCACCTCAAAATTATTGTTCAACTTCTACTGAAATGACACATAATCACCATCTTAATTCAATTTTTGAACATTCTTCCTTAAGGGATGCATTATGATCTATGTCTTAACTCTCTTTTTCTATGGAAATGATTCACCTGGCACTGTAGATAATCTAGAATTAAAATATGTGTTGTCTCATTTCTTATTCTTTTCGTAGCCTAGTGATTTTTGTTTGTGCTTAATTTTACCTACTTGTGCTCAAGTAATAGTGCTTCTCAGTGAAAGATTCACCCAAAAAATCATCTTTTACTTGACATATGTAAAGTTGCTAGTATTATATATTAAGTGTTTTTTTATTATTTTTATGTGTATATGATGAGCACTTAATATGGCAGAGTAAACAGAGAAATTATCAAACGGGTGAGTTTCAACGCTAAAATAAATGAGTATTGTAAAGAGCTATCTTTATCTTTTGTGGTTTTAATGATATAGACTTCCCTTAGTTTTTCTCAGAAAAATATGAGAGATTCTGTTTTTTGAGACATAGTAAGGTGTTTCTCTTGGACATCAGTGGTTATTAACAATGTTCCTGCTTACCATGTTTCCTGTTCCACCTCCCAGTGACTTTTCCTCCACTCACAGTGGCATTCTTCTCAGGAACCAATCCCTTTAGCTCTTTTCTAAAGGATGATGTCTCCAGGTGAATGCTACAACCTTGTGTTTCATCATAGCTGAGTTAAAATAAATTTGGACTATGATACAAACATAAATGAGGCATCTCAGGTTTGAATTCCAAAGTACAGTTCATTCTTATATCTTGATGTATACGACATTCAACCAGTTGCCGCAGGCTGATTCTGACTCATGGGGATCCATTTCTGTCAAAGGAAAACTGTGCTCCATACTGTTTTCAATGGCTGAGCTGTTAGCAGTAGATGACCATGTCTTCCTTCTGAGGTGCTTCATGGCTGAAATAAAACATCCATCCTTTCAGTTGCAGCCCAGTGTTAACCGTTTGAACCACTCTGGCACATCTTTGACAGAAAATTTTACTATCTTCAAAATAAGAAGTTAAAAATTCCAGTTATTAATCTTTTATAAATGTTGTTGTTGTTATTATTTGCCATCGAGTCAGACCCGACTCATAGCAACCCCTCCTTGGGTTTCCGAGGCAGTATCACTATGGAAGTAGATTGCCTAACCTTCCTTCCGAGGAGTGGCTGGTGGGTTTGAACAGCCAGCCTTTTGGTTAGCAGTCAAGTGCCTTAAGCACTATGTTACCAGAGCTCCCAATCTTTTCTAAAGGGGACTTTTAATTTTCTTTATGTTTCTTCACAATGGATTTCACTTTAACATTTTGTACACATCATACTAACATTTTGAATGGATCTTGAAACACTTAAAACTCTCAGGATTTTCTTGTGGAATATACAGATCAATAGTACTTAATGAGCTTAAATATTTCTAGTTAAAATGTTCTGATGTCATAAATAAGATAACCAGACAAAGAGAATCTAATAACTCAAGTCACAAAGTTAGTAAAAGATTCCAAATTGTCTTGATATTGCAACACCATTATTCTCTCTTAATTTATCTCAATCTCTTTATCATTAAAAGGTATCAAGAAAAACAAATAAATGGCTAACGAGAATTTTACCATGGTTACTGAGTTTATCCTTTTGGGACTGACAGACTGTTTTGAACTGAAAGTGGTCCTCTTTGTGTTGTTTCTACTGATCTATGTCACTTCATTAGTGGGGAATCTGGGAATGCTCTTTCTAATCCAAATCACTCCCAAGCTCCACATACCTATGTACCATTTCCTCAGCTGTCTATCATTTGTAGATGCATGCTACTCATCAGTCTTTGCACCCAAGATGCTGATGAACTTCTTTGTTGAACCAGAAAAAATTTCATTTTCTGCATGCATTGTCCAATATTTTTTATTTGTGTCACTCTTAACCACAGAGGGCTTCTTGCTGGCAGCAATGGCTTATGACCGCTACGTGGCCATTGTAAATCCTCTACTTTATGCAATGGCCGTCACTAAAATAGTGTGTGTTGTTTTGGTCGTAGGATCATGTATGGGAGGTTTAATTAACTCGTTAGTACACACGATTTTCCTGGTGAAGCTCTCTTTCTGTGGGCCAAATGTCATCAGGCACTTCTTCTGTGACCTTCCACCCCTGCTGAAGCTGTCATGCTCAGATACATCTCTGAATGAGTTGCTGCTTTTAGTCTTCTCCGGTGTGATCTCCATGATCACTTTTTTGACTGTGATTGTCTCCTACATCTTCATTGTTGCTGCCATCCTGAGGATTCGTTCAGCGGCTGGTAGACACAAAGCCTTCTCCACCTGTGCCTCACATCTGATGACCGTGACTTTATTCTATGGCTCTATAAGCTTTAGTTACATTCAACCAAGCTCCCAATATTCTTTAGAACAAGAAAAAGTGGTATCTGTGTTTTATACCCTGGTGATTCCCATGTTAAATCCATTGATCTACAGCCTAAGGAACAAGGAAGTGAAGGATGCTATGAAGAGAGCATTAGATATAAAACATCTCCCCTGTTAAGTTCATGCTATGTATTTCCTAAAAAAAGGAAACAAATATGTGTTATACCTAATTATATCTATATCAATTTAGTAACATTTCAAACCTGAAAGAGTTTTGAAGTTTATTTAATTGAACCTATTTGCTTTAGAGAGGAAGAAAAAAATCTAAGAGTAAAATTTCATAGGACACATGACTGGTTATTACAGTAAATACCTTAAAACCAGACCTAAGACATAGGTTAGATATTGCTGGACAATCCATGATATTTTTCTTTTCCATTTGAGGAAAAAATAAGTCCATATATTTCTAGATATATATTAGCAAAAAAATGGAGACCTGCAATCATGAAATTAAAAAAGAATAAAATATCACATATATCTATTCCCCTTTTGTTCATGGAACTAATTAAAATCATTTCAAGGCAAAAAATATAGGTACATGAATTATGCAGAAAACTGACATGTTCCTGAAAGTAACCTGGATTTTTTATAGCCTGAAATTCTACAAAATAAATTTAGATATTCAGGTGCACTTAGAAACAGAATGGGATTATAAAATACCTGTCCATCCAGAGTGGTTAGTCTAAACCCTTTCTCCATTTCTGGTTTTAGTTTCCATTAATATAAATGAAGTCAAACAGGGAAGCACGCCATTTCCACTACAACTCCACAGGAAGTTTCACTAATACTCAGAGAAAGCTTACTGAGAAAATTTTACTTCTGTTTAGGATGTTGTGACACCTGCTTAGAATGAGTCCAATAATAATTTTTGTTCTTGTTGTGTACTGTGAAATCAATAGCAACTTTATAGGGCAGAGTTAAACTGCCCATACAGTTTTCAAGGCTATAATCTTTATAAAAGTAGACAGCTGTATCTTTTCACCACAGAGCAGCTAGTGAGTTCAAATCACTAATGTTTAGGTTAGCAGTCAAGTGCTTACGCACTGTACCACAAGGGCTCCTTCCTAAAATATTTAGACACTCACATAAATGAAAATATGATTCCCTTCCTTTAAGGATCTTCCAAGAACTTCTTTTGGCATCAAATATGTCCTGAAGATGTTCCAGGTAAGGAAAATTTTTACACCATATCAGAAAATCTAAGAGGCTCCCTTCAATCCAAATTATACATACAAGAGCATCATCTTAATACCAGGTAAACAACATTGATTGTTCCACAGTTATCTATTCTCTTTAAAATGTATAAACTGCTGTCACTAGGGGGAGGAGAAACATATTGTGAATATCTTCATTTACAAACAAATCTATACTGAAATTGTGGAGTTATGTTTTAAATACTGAAATAGCAAAAGTGCAATGAGACAGATAAAGGTTCTGTAATAATTATTGATATATTCATAAGGCAAACTCAACTTTTATTTTCCTCTCAATGATAACCACAATTCTATGAATCAATAGCACCAATATCCTTATAAAAATGGTAAAGTTATACACTTGAATTGTTTATTACATCACAATTCAGGCAAAGGGGTTTCTATGAAAGTTTAATTTTCAGCATGAAATAACATCAATGACAACTTATAGTATATGTACAGCCTTAAAAATATTCCAAGAACTTTCAATTTATTATTGAAACTGGGCTTCATAAGCCCTCATGTATGTGACATTCATGCATATCACACATTCATTTAAATACATTTTTTATGGAAATTTTATGTTCATAGTGAATTAATAAAATAAGAAAAAAAAAATGGAAGGAGATATTTATAGGATGGAAGATTGGAAAATGAGTAACATAGTCCAACTTGATATGTACAAGTGTGTCTATGTGTAGATAGAAAGATGATAGATGTCAAAACAGAGAGATTACAGACAGATAGGTAGATGAAAAAGAAAATGATTTTAGGTTTTCTAACTGGATAATATAACTAGTCAGTAGTAAATAAAATAATTCATCTATGTAGTATCTGATACTATTCCATTTGTTGCCATGTAAAATATCAGGAATAAGAATCCAACAACACATATTTTAACTCCACTCCCTTTCCTCCACACAGACATTTTGTTATTGTTTGACACTTGGAGAAATCAGAATATGGCAGTTATTTATCTTACAAAACTTTTACCTAAGACCTGAGGAAGTCTTTTTAAATGTTTTTTTTTTTTTTTTAAATGTGCATCAAGTTGGATTTGTGATTTTTAAATTGGCCATATTGATAAAGAAAATATGTCCCAAACACCATATGGACTCGTTATATTCATATTTGCATCATGATCATTTATCACTTATTGAGAAAACCTGGAGTCAATGCAAGAAGTTTATATTCTTAGTATTTCAGGGTTAGTCCTGTGCATGAGCTCATAATGACTGTATTGACCTCAGCTTTATTGATTATTTTCAGTTGCCCTTGGTTGACTGTGGCATGTGAACAAATATAGACTCCCCAAATCATGGATAACTAAGGATCGTACAGCCATCCCAAGCAAACACTAATCTGATATAGAACACATTCTGAAAACTCCTTTTCATGGTTCTCTACCCTTCTCTCGAAAATCAAGACTTTCTAACAACTTGCAAGTTCAAGTTGAAGTTGAAGACAATTAAAACAAGTCCACAAGAGCCAAAATATGATCTTGACTATAACCTTCCTGAATTTAGAGACCCTACAAAGAACTGATTTGATGCATTGAACACCAATGACCAAAAACCAGAGGAATTGTTGGATGACACCAAGAACATCATCCATGAAGAGAGCAAAAGATCATTAAAAGGAAAAACCAAAATGCATGTCAGATGAGACTCTGAAACTTGCTCTTGAATTGAGAATAGCTAAAGCAAATGGAAGAAATGACAAGATTAAAGAGCTAAACTGAAGATTTCAAAAGCAGCTTGAGAAGTCAGTTATCATAATGAAAAGTGCAAATACATGATATTGGAAAGCCAAATGGGAAGAACATGCTCAGCATTTCTCAAGCTGAAAGAACTGAAGAGGAAATTTAAGCCTCAAGTTTCAATATTTAAAGATTCTATGGGCAAAATATTGAATGATGCAGGAAACATCAAAGGAAAATAGAAGGAATACACAGAGTCACTGTTCAGCCATTTCAGGAGGTGGCATATGATCAAGAACCAATGGTATTCAAGGAAGAAGTTGAAGCTGCACTGAGGGAAATGTCAAAAAACAAAGCTCCAGGAACTGACAGGACATGCATTGAGATGTTTCAACAAACAAATGCTGCTCTAAATGCACTCACTCAGCTATTCCAGGAGATTTGGAAGACAACAACCTGGCTAACTGACTAGAAAAGATCCATATATGTGCCCATTCCAAAGAAAGATTATCCCACAGAATGTGGAAATTATCAAACAATATCATTAATGTCACACACAAGTAAAATCTTACTGAAGATAATTCAAAAATGGTTACAGCAATATATGGACAGAGAACTTACAGAAATGCAAGCTGGATTTAGAAGAGGATATGGAAAGAGAGATATCATTGCTGATGTCAGATGGATCTTTGCCCCAGTAGAAGAATATCAGAAAGACATTTACTTGTTTTTTATTGGCTATGCAAAAGAATTTGATTTTGTAGATCATAACAAATTATGGATAACATTGAGAAGAATTGGAAACCTAGAACACTTAATTGTACTCACCAGGAACTTGTACATAGATCAGGAGGCTGTCACTTGAACAGAACTAGGGCACACTGCATGATTTAAAATCAAGAAGGGAGTGTGTCATGGTTGTATCCTTTCACCATACTTATTCAATCTGTATGCTAAACAAATAATCTGACAAGATGGACTGTATGAATAAGAAAGTGGCATCAGGATTAGAGGAAGACTCATTAACATCCTCAATATAAAGAAA